AACACATTGTTGATATATTAATTGCATATATATTTTAATACTATTGTAAACTGCTTAGCTAGGCACTTGTACATTCATAAATATATAATTCAGAATAGATTTGAATGTTTCGATCTCTGGCTTCCAGGTAGAAATTAAAAATGGATGCCGCCTCTTCCATTTACAGTGCTTTTGTACAATACAATACATTCTTTCTGTCACAAAGGAGGCCTAGAACTGGTGTGTAGCCCTATTCTGTGTATAGTAATAAGTTCACCAGCTCCTGAATTAAATTTTCTCTCTGGGATAATAGCACAAGTCTATAGAGCCTGTTTGGGTCACTTATTATTTGTTTATTTGTACACACACACAATAGCCACCAAAAAGCACTTCCACTATGTTTGAGTTCAGTTATTGCACTAATAGTTGTCTGAATTTGGCTTCAGATATTGTGTGAATCCAACTATTATCATCTGTCAATCATATTTTATTCTTTAATGGGTTGTGAAACTCAGCCAACCATGGGATTTCCAACAAAACATGGCTAAACAAATAATTCTCTAAGAACCAGTTCTATTGTACTTTGAAAACAGATATGTGATAAGTCACTATAAAGTTGAATAGTTAAGAGTTATGGAATTGATACAAGAAGTTACTTGTTCATCTAAAACACAACCAGTTGACGGGTTTCTATATTGTTGCCTTCACGTTCTACTGAGACTTCCTGAAGGCATTCCACTAACTTTGGAAGCAAGATGTTGGGCTAGAATCAAGGACTAGTATACAAATAAATTCCAAGGACCAGCCTAGATCACACTGTTAGTCTGATCCTTCAAGAACATTTTCAAAACGTCATAACTTTCATTTCTGCTCCTTATTGGGTATCAAACCCATGAAAAACCAGAAGACATTGTGGCAGACTCATGACATATGGATTATATCCATTTCTACCTATCATTTTATTTTTCTAGCTGCCTCTATAATTCTGTTTCTCAAAAGCAGAACAACAAAAGTTTAATTATTCCTAGGATGGGGGAACCAGTAATGAATTCTTTCAGGAAGGAGAAAAGATTTTCATTTGCTGGAAAAATCAAAATGGGCCTTGAAATTAGCAGCAAATTGAATTATTTAGAGTTCCATTACAGATGACATTTCAGACAAAATATTTCAAATATAATCTCAAACTGTAGTAGCTCCCAAAAGCTAAAATTAAATTTATCATTGCATTGCTAAAAGCAAAACTGAAATGAGACAAATTCTCTTCCTCAATATACATATTTACTAAAATATTTGGTGGGAGGGGGAATGATCCTAAAATATACTATAGCATCTCTATAGGAAGTCTTCAACTTACAGTTTGACGGTTTAAAATTTCGGATAATGAAGAGTAAATATTATAGCAATAAAAACAACTGCGCCGGGGGACAAGTCAACTCCAAGGCAATATTTATTTCAATGGGCTTTCCTGGAATTTCTTTGCAAGCACAACAGAACAAGCTGCATTTGTTTTGCTGTGGTATCTGCCATACCTATCATTACATTTTCTAAAATCTTATGAGAAACATAAGCATTATGCAACGCAAGCATTTCAGAGAAAGCAGCTATTTCTTTTAATGTTAACAGGAATGAGTGATTAAATGAAAGACGAAAAAAACAGTACAAAACATTGAAAAATTACAATCTATTTTTAGTAACCTCTTAGCAAGAGGTTCACAGTCAATATAAAAGCAACCAATAATCAAAGGGATCTGACAATGTCTTTTGGAACCCTTGTCTAAATTCCAAAAGCTACTGTTTGAATATATCATTCAAATAACCTTATTATTCTTAAGTAAATCAGTAATGTATTGTAGCATCAGCTTAGGAGCATTTGAGTGAACAATAGAAATGGGTTGGTTTTTTTAGTTAAAAAAGCTATCAAAAATACAGGAAACAAAGTGTTATTCAAAGTGTTAACAACGAGCAGCATGCATTCTTGGGCAGAATTGCCCTATATCATCTAATTAATGCAGCATTAAATGGCATCAAAATTGTCCATAAGATTTGATTCTTCATCCATTTCATTTCATTTCATTTCAGAACTCCACTTGATTCACAGTTGCAGCTCTTTCAAGCTTTCGCGTTTCTACGTGATGGGATAATTCACTTGGCAACGAGTGATTTTTGCAGATAACTGATTAAGAGAAAAAAATGCCATATACATAATAAATAGTATAGTACTTTCAGAATGTTAAAATACGTTCTATGACAAGAAGAAGAAAGGAGGAGAATCATCCTCAGATATGAAGTGATTAAGCAAACACTCATTGTACTAATATCAGGAAGCTGCATATTGGAAACAGCGTTACAGTTCTTATTTCTTGGATTACTTCTATTAACCAGAATCTCTATTGCTGAAAAATATGGCAAATAATAGTTAAATAAATAGATATAAAATTAATCAGCTAATAATCAGGTATAGGTCCATTATAGGTAATCCTTGGCTTATGACCATAACTGAGCCCAAAATTTCTGTTGCTAAATGAGACATTTGTTAAGTGAATTTTGCCCTATTTTAGGAACTTTCTTGTCACAGTTGTTAAGTGAACCACTGCTGGTGTTAAGTGGTTCACACAATTGTTATGTGAATCAGGCTTCCCCAATGACTTTGCTTGTCAAACGATTGCAACAGGTGATCACATGACCTCAGAACACTGCAACGATATGAGTCAGAATCCCTGAGTCTGAATTTTGATCACGTGAGCATGAGGATGCTGCAATGGTCATAAGTCTGAAAAATGGTCATAAGTCACTTGTTTCAGTGCCCTTGTAAATTTAAATAGTCACTAAATGAATTATTGTAAGTCAAGAAATACCTGTACAAATGAAACTGAAATAAGCCACAGAACCTCATGGTAACCTCATGCAAGGTGAAGGAATGTTTCCTGGACTGATCCCTTTAGAGTGGATAACATTCTGAATGCTTGCCAGTCCCAACTTTCTGTTTATAAGAAGGCGATTTTTCAGAAAGAAACCGAGTAATGCTCTTTAAAAAGGCTTGCTTAGAATATATAAATAGAGAAATCCAACATGGCATTTCCCTGAAACCTGAAGTAATGATTTAAGACAGAAGCTTGCTTCAAAGCTGGTAAGTGATTTCCAGATCTGGGTGCTAACAGGAAACTAAAATTAAGAAGACATTTCTTGATTTATCGAGATTTGCCATCAAAGAATCTACAGAGGAGTTGTATGCACAAGCAAAAAAATATGTACATACATTAGCAACGTACCATCTGTTCCAAGCTCATAAAATGATGGACTGACTCTCCCTTAGCACTTGTCTTCCAAAAGTCTGTTCTGCAGATTGTTCTCTCTGGTCAGGTTCCTATTTTGGAAGGAAATCAGACTGGTAGAAAGGTGATTAATGGCAAGGATGCTATGTGGACATGACTGTAAGCTAGTTATTTAGGGATGCACTCAGGAAGTGCTTAAAATTCAGCAGGGTTGATTTACCATATTTTGACATAACCTAAGACATTTTACAGTTTAAAAAAGTCTTCTCTTTATATGACAATGAAGTCCTAAAATTATCTGACTTCACCGTAGTTTGAACAGAGAAACTAACATAGAGTCAGCACTGGATTACTTCATCTCTTCAAACTTGAAAACTTAAAAATACCTTCTTTTCTAAAGAATATGTCTTGTGATATGGGAAAGATCTGCAAACCACCCAACCCATTTAGCCTCATCCTGTCAAAAGACATCAGCTCTCTCCCACATTGTAAGAATTTCTAAACTACAAGAATTGGATACAGCAATCCAATAGAGCAGGGAAACAGTTCGTCATCCTTACATCTGACCTATAGTTAGATGAGGGTATATGGAAAGTATATCTTATGAATATAGGTGGAAGATCAAAGGATTAGACAGAAAGAGCAAAGGCCTGCATTTCTTCATTGCTGAAATGGGTGGTTCCCCTTGAATATTAACTTGAAAATGATGCTTTGCATTATGAATTCGACCCTTTTCTGTAACAGCTAAACAGGATTTTCTCTCTTTCTATTTTTATCCATATTCAGTTCTCTTACGTGTACTTGTGTGTTTTTGTGTGAGTGGTTTCTGCACTATATGTATGATTTTGGCTTGGGACAAGCAGATAATAGCTCAATTTAGATTAATTTGGATGCCATTTTTGTACAAGCATTCCATTTTGTTGAGGAGTAATTATTTTCCTTCCCTTCCCTTTTCTGTCTCCATTATCTTCTATCAGCCCATTACTTCAGAACCTGGATATAGGAGACACAATATGCACCAGAGGTGGTATTCAGCAGGTTCTGACCAGTTCTGGAGAACCGGTAGCGGAAATTTTGAGTAGTTTGGAATACCACCTCTGACTGGCCCCACCCCCATCTATTCTCTGACTCCCAAGTCCCAACTGATCAGCTGGGTCTTCTTTTGTTGCCCTGCACAGGAGAAAGGAGCTGGAAAGCAGGTTAGTGGGGTGGGGAGAGAATGGGGATTTTACAGTTTCCTTCACCTGTCACACCCACCAAGCCATGCCCACAGAACCGGTAGTAAAAAAATTTGAATCCCACCACTGATATGCTTATATCATATTATATATTATATGTCCCCATTTGTTAAGGTTGATTCTACAAATTGACATGCCAGAGAAGCATCACAAACAATTTTTGTTTTTATGTTTTTTATATACTGTTCCTCCTTGGGAAATGAGAGGTTAATATCAGAAACTCTTAGAAGTATGGCTCTGGAATAATTTTTATAAAAGTTCATTGCATTTATTTCTAAATGGCACTAAGCTTTTAAAAAGCTTGGTAAAAGGTCTGAGTGGCTTATAAAGTATTAAACATTCCAAGTTTCTTAATTAATATTTTAAAGCCTTGAAACATTTCAAGGCATGTCTAATCTAAATATATATATTTTCAGATCCATAGAGACACTTGAGCTGAATCACCTAGGGATGCTACTAGAATTGATTTCAATTCTAAATTTAAGCTTTGCAGATGAATCAACAAAGTCCCTAAATCACTTCATGATTTGGTAAAGTGAAAATCAACACAATGAAAATCTGATACCAGGTAAAGATAACTTCATACAAATTACAGCAGGCTTTTACTGCTTTCAAATTTCATTGTATTGATAGCCCTAACTGATAGGAAATATCAAATTCTAATGAGACAGATGCTCAGCCTATGCCGAAGATGTCAGACTGAAGATTGGTTTCATGTTCAGAGCAATACTTTCAGAACTCCTATATTTTGAGGAGGTCAAGGTGATTCTTGCTATCAGATCATATGGGCTCACTCAGGGCTCTCAATCTATGGCCTGTTTTGTCAAGAAAGATTTAAAATCACAGACTAACAACCTGATGACTATGGCTTATAACTCTAAAGGTGATTTCCCTCACTTAGCATAGTGAATATAGTGGAAATTAACTTGACTGTTTGCATCTCTAGAGAGCCGTAGTGGTGCAATGGTTAGAATAGAGTACTGCAGGCTAATTCTGCCGACTGCCAGCAGTTCAATACAGACCAGCTCAAGGTTGATTCAGCTCTCCTTCCTTCTTTCCGTGGTCAGTAAAATGAGGATCCAGATTGTTTTGGGCAATGTGCTGATTCTGTAAACCAGGGGTCCCCAACCACCGGTCCGCGGACCGGGACCGGTCCGTGGAGCACTCTGTACCGGGCCGCAAAGAAAATAAAAAAAAATGGCGGCTTTCTTCGCCTTCGGTGAATGCTGCTGGGATCAGGGATCAAGGACACAAATGAAAGAAGGGGAGGGAGGAAGCAACCAAAGCCTGTCCTGCTCTCCGGCTCAGCGGCTTCGGTTTCCTCCCGCCTCGTTCCTCTCTCAGT